TGGGGGGGGGATTTCCCCCCAGCAGACCAGGGAGCAGCTTTTCTCGCCCTGGAGGACGCGGGTGGCGGGACCATGGTGCATCTGGGCGTCCCACCGCTCCCATCCTCTGGGGCGAGAAAAGCCCCGTTCGTAACATAAGTCGGATCCGCGTAACTCGGGGACTGCCTGTACATCAATTAATTTAAAAAAAAAAAAAAAAAAAACACAGGAGGTTTCTCCCCACAAATGGATACTTTAAGTATACTTTTTAAAATGGAAAACAAGCAGTTACTCATTTATGGTATGTATGTAGCTTATTGATCCCATTAAAATTAGTTTCTTTTTTTGCGGTATGTTAACACTTCTTGCAGGCAACAAGAAAGTGTTTAGGAGGGATTTTGAGTGAGAAAAGTGGCAGTTTAGTATACTTGGATTATGTCGACATGCCATGTTTATGGGCAGTATTGGAAAAAAGCAAAGGGGATGAGGCATTGGAAATGGTGGGAGAGTTGAGACAGGTGCCTTTTACTTCTGATTTTCCTCTCCATTTATGCAACTAAACTAGAAGACTGTATTCTAGTCAGTTTTGTTTTTTGGGTCTCAAGCTCTACCATCCTTCATGGGCAAAATGGAGCAGTTCATACATCTCACTCCACACAGCGAGCTCTGTGGTCACAAATGAGCTGGGAAACATTATTTGGCATATAGTAGGGTATGTGCTCCATCAGGATCTTGGCCAGAATTTGATATTGGCCAGGATGCCAGTACAGCATGCAGAACAATGGGGTTGGGGGAGAACATGCTCTGAAGATGAACCAATGTGCACGGTCATCTGGAGCTTCTTTGTGGCATTCACTTTTATCCCCACACAACCATGAACCAGCTGGACTAGGAAATAATGAATACTTGGAACCCCAGAGCTAGGTCCAGTGGGAAGGTGCTTTTAGCTAAAAGTGTCATTTGGGTATCCAAAAGGAGGAGTCCAGAATGACACTTTAGTGCAGCACTCCGAGATACCAGGGAACCGGAATGATGGCACTGTTAAAGGTTAATGGAAAAGTAGGACAGCTCCTATGCTAGAGGGCTGTATGAAAACAGTGTTGGAGTGAATGCAATTCAAATGTACAGATGCCGAGAAGCATATGCCACCAACAAGGCCTTCATGGCAGGAGGTTCAAGAAAGACTCCTTTGGAAGTCTTGAAGGGGAATGAGAAGCAGAATGCCTGGTTTCAGAGAGGGGAAAAAGTTTTAGAAGCTAGGTGGTCATAAAGACAGTGAGCTTTCTGAAGGCAGAGCTGGAATTCCAGACATAGCAGAAAAAGGAGAAGGCTAGGGGTGAAACAAATTAAATGTAGACCCTGAGGGATGGAAAGCAAAATACTCAGCAGGGAATGCGATTAAGATAGATGTCACTAGCAATTAGGAGTTACACCCCTCTTAGGGCAGCTAAAGGATGTGCGCACTAAGGATGTTAAGGAACAGGTAGTTGGCTAATCGTCTAGATGATGCAATTTGTATTGATTACACAATTAGTCGATAAGTCAATAAGGGGAGGCACTCTGCAGAGCCACAGCGGGGGTAGCTCCCAGAGCCAGTGCAAACCAGGACCGAGCAGTCTAGGTCCTGCAGCCCCGTTTGCGGCAGCCTAGGATGGCTGCAGGCAGAGGCTGCTCCAGTAGCAATTCCTGCCTGGACAACCATATCCACAGGGGTGGGGAGCGGCTCCCCCACTGTTTCCTCCCCTCCCAATGAACAGGGGCTGTTGCCGGACCAGGCTCCCCACTGCTGCTGCCTCCAATACAGAAGCAGCAAGTGGGGGGTGGAGGGGAGCGAGTAGTTGAATACTCAAAGTGGGCACATTCTTTTGGCATCCCCATATTCCTCTTGGTGAGAGGAATGAGGGATGTTCCGAAAGAGGAAGCTTTTCTGAAATTTGGCCCTGTGTATATGGGCCAAGTTTCAGAAAAGCCTTTTTCCACTTTTTTTTTTCCCCTCCAGAAGAGATCTGCAGTGTAGACATAGCCAGAAAGCAGTGAGGCTCTTAGGAAACCTGCAATCAAATGAAGGACTATAGAAGGAGAAGGGGTTATTTCTGAGTTACAGAAAACACTGCCATTCCTCTCAGAACTGATACAGCCTGGTTCATTCCACTGGTTAAAATAGATTTCACATGTTTGTCAAGTTTTATCCTTGAGCAAAGCTATATATAAACTTTAACAGAACCACCAAAGCAGTTTTTACATGACAGGATAGGGCAGAAAAAGCCCAGCACTTGATGTGGAGCTCTACTTTTTTTTGTTTAAAATAACCACACACACAACACATCCCAACTTGTAGTTTAGGCTGTGACTTTAGAGAGCTACCCGAGTTCTTTCTGTAACCTACACTTACAATGTAATTCTGACGGCCCCTCTAGTAACCAGGGCACAGAGGTTTCAGTCTGATACTTGCTTTGAACCTACATACCAGAGTGTCAGTAGAGGCAGTAGAGGACAACCAGAAGTTAAACTGCAGATCTAGAAGTGGCATGAAAGAGACTCCCTTTGGATCTGGTTTAGCCTCTCTTGTCTAGAAGAAATGTCACTGGACCAGGGTTCAATTCAGGAAGAAACTAACCCAGGCAAGAGTGCTGTAGAGAAGACTAGTAGACGGGACTTTCAAAAACAGACCTAGCATAGAAAGTGATACAATCTCTCTCACCTTGTTTCTCCTTTTCTTTAAGAGGATCTGCATTATAAACTCTAAATCCATTTTCCATCCCACATGCAAAGCACCCTAAAACAAAAATGAAAAAAAAAGCATTAATTATGAAGCACAGGCAACAAAGAATAAGTCAGAGGGGTTGGGGGTCACTATTCAAGAACTTTAGTGTCAATTAAATTTATTTCAAGAACAAGGCTGTACATCTTTATTAGTTCAAAACGGAAAACAAGTTGATTTTTACACTTTGTTTCAAGGTTAGATGTTCCCGGTGGTCTTTTTAAATAAGTGGTGAAGAAATACTGAAAATTAAAAGTGTTATTGTATCACAAAGGAAGCAGTTTGATAAATATATATATATATATATATATTATTTTGGTAAATTCTTATAGGATCTTACACTCTCCAGTAACAGCTAGCACAGAAGTCTCCTTTTAGTACAAGAAGTGAGAAATCCTATTTCAAATATTCAGATTCCTTATTAAAACTTTGCTACGTTGTCTAACATGTTTGTTCCTGAAATAGGTGGGAATAGTTCTTTATATCGACCATATTCTTAAGTCCCTTTCAGGATAACATAGAAAGAAGTCCATCAGTTGCAATTAACTGTGGAGAACTGGAGAAACGGATGACCAGAATTGGGCTATGCAGATCTCTTAGACGAGGAGGAAGAGAAATGCCTTTTTAATGTATTCCTTCAATCTCTGTGCCAGAGTTCCACGACTGTTTTATCTGCTTTATAAATTAGTAAACACTAATGGTGCTACTTATCACAAGTAAGCAGTGAGTTATACCACTGGCCAATATTGGCCTAAGGCAGAATACTTTAGAAACATTAACCAGCATCGAGAAAAAAATAATTTGAAGAGGCGTTGCCACCAGCTACCCAAATAGAACACAGTTATTTAATTACATGCATTTTAACATCCTTACCTAAACAGTATACTTGGATTGAAGTTTCTGGGAAACTCCATTTGAACTCACAGGATTTGTGCATATGACAGATTTTTATGAGCTTGTGTTGCCTAGGAGAAGGCAGGTGCAAGATGCACATTACTGAGGGTAAGTCTGGAACTGGGAATTTGTTGATGTTGCTCTGCATGTAAAGCAAGAGTATCTCCAGCCACAGCTCTTGTACAGTATAGTGGAAGTAGCATGGGGGGGGGGGAAGAAGGGAGAACAGCTGCTCAATAGACTGAACCCCAGGTAAGATGACATATCTACTCCAAAAATAAGAAAAACAAGAGTCTTGTCAGGCTCTGTGTCAAACCACAGATTAATAGCCATAAAACTATAATAAAAACCTCACTTCATACCTTCCTTCTCCATCCTGCCAGACTATTTGCTCAGCTCCCTATGACAGTGAAGCATCTGCATGGTGCCAAGGATATTCAGAATCTTGTGACCTAGTATCATGAATTATATACTGAGAACATTCTAAGATGGTCATATCTGATGACACACAGACCCTGAAAAACCACACGCATTCAACATTATTTTTCCTGAAATTTAACTAGCTTGTGTCAAACTATCAATTTCAGGAAAATCACTTGTTCAGGATTGCCAGCATTCTGTATTTGCATACATGGACCTTCCAGGTTAGCAGCAGTTAAGACAGTAGTTGAGAAATCCCTACCCCTCTCACAGAATTTTAAAATAATCCAATAGCTTAAAAGTTTGAGGGCAAGGAGATAGAGGAAAATTACATTAGAAATTTGTGCTGAGAACCTTAAAGAATCCAGTGATTTAACAATTCATTCTCTTTTCCTCTTTTTTATTGCCATTTTATTTGAAGACAGAATTTCTTCTCAAATATGACCATATGCCAACTAGATTAGTTGGAAGCAAACCATCCTACTACACACAGGATGCAAGTTT